GGTGACTGCGGCAGACTTTTGTTCTGTCGGGAGCCAAATTTTGGCGAGTCAACAATTAGGTTGGCCGGCCTCGGAGTAAAGCACAGATTTATCATAGTAGCAATTGTTATTGGTATTTTTTGTACGAACGAAGGGTGACTGCGGCAGACTTTTGTTCTATCGGGAGCCAAATTTTGGCGAGTCAACAATTAGGTTGGCCGGCCTCGGAGTGAAGCACAGATTTACCAAAGAGGTGACAATTGTTTTTGGTATTTCTTGTACGAACGAAGGGTGACTGCGGCAGACTTTTGTTCTGTCGGGAGCCAAATTTTGGCGAGTCAACAATTAGGTTGGCCGGCCTCGGAGTGAAGCACAGATTTGCACAGTGATAATTGTTTTTGGTATTTCTTGTACGAACGAAGGGTGACTGCGGCGGACTTTTTTTGGTATTTCTGGTACGAACAAAGGGTAATTTTTAATTGATGTATATATACTTTAATAAGTATTTAACAATACATGTCATATTTATATGTTTTTTTCGTTATAAAATATTATAGGTTATACCGTTGTGAACAGGAGAATGTTCGTTGGATGATAAATTCCTCAAACACTACACCTTTGGCATTTTTAGAATTACATATCCTTCAATTAGAAGTAAAGCAATTGAATTGACTCCGTATAATAAAGAACATTAAAAAAGCTTACTCTTTTACAAAGAAAATTTACAAGTGAAAGTTTAATATTTGCATTTTTATAAAGAAAAATTATAGGCATCTTTCGCGTTAGATATATTTCCTAAAATTTCATAAAGTTTATTTATGTTAGGATGGCTTTGAGTTTAGGGTTAGAGATAAGAAGAGTTTATGAAATTTGTTCAAGAAAGCTTTTTGCTAGAACACGAAAGGTTTCTTTTATATATATAATAATGTAATAGGTGGCGCGAAATGCCATCTACATTTATTTTAATAAAGTTCATTATAGCAATTAACTATTATAGAAAAATTCACTGTTTACTCAATACTAAAATTTACTTCAGAAAATTACTGCCTATATGCTATTACAGAATCAGGAAATCACTACTTTACATTACTAAATAGTGAACTTATTCATCTTAAAATGCTTGAATTTAGTTATTGAAATCGCAAATTTACAAACTGTTAACTCTGTTAACTTTATTGAATATGTAAACCCATCTGCCGTTAAAATCGTGAATGCTAAATAATCCCACTTACTATTAAAACCACAAACTTATTCACTGTTAAAGCTACAAATCAACCAGTCGATCAGGAAGAACCGTCACTGTTATACAATTGATCTAACAGGTTGGATTATAAGAATGACATTAAGTGATCAGAATTTAATTAAAGGTACTCACCCGCTATTGAGATCAGAATTAATTAAGGTACCCATCCGTCATCCAACTATCATGTTTGTTACCATTTTCATTACCTGATTTTAAATATTAAATATCAAGAAGATCGCCAATAAATATGTGACACAATATTTATCAATACAGGTATTTGCTAAATTTCCTATTGGCTGGAATTATTCGCACCAAATTACATCTCCGCAGTCCCGTGATTTAATTGGCTGCACATGGTGCCTGTTACACTGTAACGTGATATTCATTTTTTACCATTAATAGTGGTCGGCTAAAGCGGAGCGAGTTTTGGAATTACCTTTTTGATGCAGTTAGTGTTAGTAGTTATATAGAATATCAAGAATGTAATTTAGGCAATGTGTGGATCATATATTGAATTAACTCCGCTTTAGTCGACCCCTATTAATAGCTATAGGCTAACTTTCTCGTGATTGGTCAATTTTATTCAATTGAATTTATACAGTTTAAAGTACTTTTACAACCTTCTATAAAAAAAAAAAAAAAAAAAAAGTAAAATTGCCGTTTAAATATTAACGAAAGACTATTTACAAAAGAAGCTTCAAGAATCTCAGGTATCTCTGCAGTCCTTAGCAATTTAAATACTCTTTATTAAAAAATGGATTTCAACCCTGAAGAATGACAATGTGCAATAACTGTGTGTGTTAAAGCTTCAAATCAGCCCAGGAAAAGCGTAACTGAGTGGGTTTTAGAAAAAGCTCAACAAAATAATACTCTACCAGTTTATCTTAAATTTGGTAATGTGATCTGTCAGCAGTGCTATAATAGAATAATTGTTAAACCTTTAGCTCAATTAAAAGAGCATTCCCAAATGACTAATGTTCAAATTTTAGATATAACAGAAGAATATAGGGATGTGGTAGCTGATCCTCAAAAAGATAATTTAAAGATAATGTTCTTTTCAAATACAATTAATACTATAACAGATTTTTTATATTAGCATGAAGTAATACAGAAATTGTTAGCATTTAAGATTTTTGAAGAATTTCATGCTTATATGGAAGAAAAGAATATTCACCTGGTGGTTTTTTTTGATGAACTTGTATTGTTAACAAATTTATTTCAAAAAAGCCTAAATCATGCTCTAAAATTTTGTTACAATTGTTTTGTGTTTGCTATATACTTTGCAGTTTGTATAGTAAATTTATTATTAATGTCAAGCGAGATCTAGCTCTTTATCTTAATTCTACAGTGTTATCCTATATTTACTTTTTTTAAGATAGTAGGTAACTAGAGTGACCTTAGACAGTGAACACTTTTTGTAACCTCACTTGTT